CCTGGATGCAGCTGCCAAAATACCCTGCAACTTCAGGGCTAAGGGTTTTTTTATGTTTTGAAAAACAGTATCTGTGACACTTCATGTTCCCAATAAGGGTAATGAACATCAGAGCTTGTACATGTCTCAGATCTCGCAAAAGCATGAGATAAGCCAGCATCTGCCAGAGCAGGGAGGAGCAGCGTGGCCTCCTGGCTTTTCTGCTTGGGCCTCATGCCCTGGAGAACCTTCCTGCAAACCGAGGTCTTGGCTGCTCCATGGGGGGCAGACATAGTTGATCAAAGTCCCAGATGGCTGGATTTAACTGCCTCCATCAGTGCCTTCAAGGTCCAGGGGCCACAGATTAATTTCAAGGTCAGACAGTGGGTTGGCCGATGACTTCACCGTAAGCAGATTTAAAAATGATCTTGTAGATGCAGAGTTACCAGGTGTCTACTCCCGGGGATGCTTTCGTAGTCACCTTGCCTGATCCTGTTGAAAAAGAAGAGGTTTCACTGCATTTTTCATCAGCTGATGAGTCATCCAGCATCTCTCAGATTGGTTCTGCTCTGAGGGTTGCCGATGGGCAGATTCGAGTCCATTCTGCTGCACAGCTCAGCTGCTGAGCCGTTACAGGAGGTCTAATTAAATTAAGCCATAAGGCAGGAAAAAAAAATGTGCCATAACCTTCATAATCCATGAAACCTTGAATCGTTTGCCAAATGTCAATTTCCTAAAAACGAGGTCTAGGGCACATCACCAGGAGATGAAATCCTAAAATGGAAGCTGTCATTGTCTACAGTGTGTGCAGGGATGCCAAGCCTTGAACCCGGAGAGGGAGTGGGGCCCAAGATCTGGGCGTGTGAAGGAGGAGTACTCCGTAAACGATGTCCTTGAAATCCACATTAGCTCCTGCTAATTGGATGGAGAGAGTGATCCTTTCCATTCCTGAATTTGTAAAGTTGTTTTCTTCTCAGGGAAACATTAACATCTGCTCTGTGGGGCTAACTCAGTCCTGCGTGTTTTTTTTTCTGATGGAGCTGGGTGAGCAAAAGAGGGGACCCCATGTGGGCAGCAGAGCCTGGAATCCAACTTTCTGATGACACACATCCTCAACTAGCTTCTCCAGGGAGTTCTCCACAGGCAGGGAAGGACAAAAACCAAAGCTAGCTAGGATGCTAAGCGTGGGAGCACTGTCCATCCTTTTGTCACTGCCAGACAAGCTAGCTTTTCTACCCAAGAAATTTACCACCAATGATGTCTCATTTATTGAGCACCTACTATGTGGCAAAGCACCATGATGCAGCTGACACATATAGTAATTATCTCATTTAATCCACACAGTGATTCTGAGGCTCAGGGATGCTGACTTGCCTGAACTGCCCAAGAGGAAGGACTCGAATCCAGACCTCACTGGTTTCAGAGCTCATGTTTCTTACACCATATTAATCTTGTCCCACCATGTACATGGATGCTAAGCAAAGCTATACGCTATTTCTCAGCTTCCAAAATGGAATGTGGATAAATGAAGATGAGCAAGAACGAGCAGAAGGTTTCTACTCTTCGAATTTTCTTCAAAGGCTTTAAAGTCTGAGGAACAGCATGGCCTGATGACAGCTGAGGGGCTGCTGGTTGCTTTTTCCCATCTTCATCTTACTGGCTCGGAGCTGGTAGGCAACCCTGATCATTTGACATACTCAAGTTGTGAATTCCAAAGGAAGAGTAGTAAATGTGAGGGGTTCATTCTGAATCTCTTGGACCTTAACTGTATAAGAAAAATAAACCATTGACTTCATCTTGGAACAAGGATATTTTAACCTCAGAGATTTAGCCATGTACAAACTCCTGAGTTACTCAGATTTCACTCTCTGCCTGTCAACTTGGTGCCTTTTAGGTGGGGGATTTAAGATGTCCAGAACAACGTGCTATCTACGGTCCTGGGTGCTGTACACAATTCTGGCCCTGTCTGGACATTCACTTTCTAGAGGCTGTGAGCGAGGTGGAAAGTTCTATGTAGAAGAATGCAGGGGTCTCACTGAGACGACAGAGGAGGAGCATTTATCTGGGAAAGGTGGGACGTTGTCATGGAAGGAGTCCCAGATAAGGACTCTCTCTCCCCACCCAGATAAAGGGTGAAAGAAGTTTGTCAGAAGGTTAAGTTAGAGAAGGGGGTTCCTTTAAGAAAAAACGGTCCTCACAAAGGCAGGGGGATAGAATAAGCATAATGCCGTGTACTCGTGTGAGGTATGGGGTGACTGAATATTGCACCCAGAATGATTTTAGGATCCAGCTTTAAATAATATTGAATTGAAATAGTAGAAGTCGCTGCCTGTTCATTCCTTCTCCATTTTGTTTAATTCAAGGAATAAATCTTCCCGTGTATCCGAATGTGGTTCCCATTTCTCTAACCCTTACTGATTTCCCTTTTTGTCAAACAGAGAGCAGGCTTTTGCCTCAGGTATTTTAGCAGGGCAACAGTATCTTCTTAGAACTTAATTGCATTGTTTCATTTTTATTATATTTATTATTACAGTTGTATTTTCATCATGGCAACTGATTGCAGCTTTCCATTCACAGCATTGATACAGTTTCATTTGAAATGACTTTATTGTAGTTTAAAAATGCCATCAATTAAAATAAGAACAATATGCCCCAAAATAATGCAGGTGGTACATGATTGTGGTCATGGTCGTGAAGTTGGTACACCGGTGACTAGAGTTTGGTAAACACTGACGTGGTGCGCTTGGAAAATAGAAAGTCATAAGGTGGAGCAAAGCATGAGAGTGGAAGTGAGCACAAAATGTTTGGCAGAAGCTAGTCCGGGAAGAGCATCCTAGGACGCTGAGGAGTCAGGCTCAGTGAGGAGGGCATGAGCAGGAAGGTGAGCAGTGGGGCTTGGATGGACAGGGTGGGGGTGTGTGTCTGACGTATCAGTGGTACAGTCACCATTGTCACCATTAGATGCGGAGGGAGAAATCTAGAATGTTTCTTAGGTTCTGGCTTGTTCTGAGGGCGACGTGAGGCTCTCTCCACCAGCTGAAGGCATGTTTTCCCTTAGTTGTTCGTTGGCTTGATGATTGACATGACTGTGATCCGAAGTGAACCCCTCCACCTCATGAACTCTGCGTAATGGCTTAATAGGGTCCTTCCCCTCACACTCATGGCCAGACATCTGACTCCTGAGACAAGCAGAGCAGAACTCAGCATGTGTGGTAGAGTCAGTATGCTTTCAGGTCGTGAGTTTTTGGTCAAGCAAATGTGATGCCCTCGGACTCTGCCCTAAAATTTCCTGCAGGGTCTACCACAAATGAGGGAAGATTTCCTAGTTTAATAAAAACTACTTTAAGTCATAAACCTCATCATTTCTGAATAAAGTTTTCCTCGAAGTGTGAAGTGATGTTTGCTTAATTCATGATGATAACTAACACTTAACAGAATAAAAAGTTTGCATCTAGATTATTTCCTGAAAAATATAAGAAAACTTCCTCATGTATTACTTTTGCAAGGAGTTAGAGTTTGGATGATTTTCAATGGAACACACTTTTATTTAAATGAAAGATAAGGGATGGGCAATTATGTTCGAGTCTCTTGGCTTTGACAATGTAACTATATTAACTCTACTGTACATCTGATCGTGAGAGCAAGTCACCCACCACCTCTGATGCAGGAGGCGGTTTTAAAGGATGGAATACAAAAAGCTTAAGTCTTTCAATTATTCGTTGCTTCTTATCCAGGTTGAGAGAAACGCATCCTGCTTTATGCATAAAGAGTGACAAGAAATTGAAGAATTATAGATAATGGAAGTGGATGAGAAACAGCTGTAAGTAACGTGGTGTCTTATATTTAAGAGTTAATCTGGGATCTGACTCCTGAAATTTGGTCATTGCAGACCTTTGCATGGAGTATATAAATGTATATTTTTTAAAGAAAATAGACATTCTGGATGTAATTTGATGATTTAGTTCAAATATCCTGAGTGCAAGTGCAGGTAAATGGGTGTGCACAGATATCCTATCAACTTGGGATCAATTTTCCTGTTTGTTTCACTAGATGTTTTCAATAAAGTTTGAAGATCGTATTATGAAAACTCTACAAAAACTTATGTATCAGTAAATTTCTGCAAAATTATAACAAAACGTTAATGTAATAAGCCATTAAAAACTTAGAGACTTTATGGGAAACAGTGTGACTACAGAAGAAGCACATATAAAATAAAGAACTTAAGCTACAACTTTAAATCTTGTTTACTAAGTATGCCTTTCAACACACCATTATTATTAAGAAAGGAATTTGCTTATTGGCACTAGATTGGAGAAAGGGTGAAATATGTTTATTTGTTCCATTTGTGCAATATTGAGGGTGTCGTTTGGAACTGAAAATTTTAGGTTCCCAAATGAAGAACCTGCAGGAGAAGGAGCAGATGGAAGGTAGGCTTTGAAAATTCACTATGTGCTGGACCTTTTCTGGCTTCCTTCGGTGTGTTCAAATGTAACACTTGTCACACCTCAGTTTGTAAAGTCACTTAAATTCCCATGGTAGAATCAGGGGATGAGCTTGAAGGAGGAAGTTCTCAAATTCACTAAGTTGCTAAGTGGCAGGGATGGTGCTTTGACGGCAAAGCCCCTCCTCCTCGCACTGCAGGAAGCTACCTGCACCTAGAACGTGTGAATGCATCCCCCTGGCTACCCTTCATTCTCTTAGAAAGTGGCGCTTAGGGAGAGAGGACACAGAGTCACTCAGCCAAGCAAATTGGATACTAGAGTAACTTCACACCCAAGCCAGAGGGGCTCATATTCTTGCAAATGGAAATTTGGCTTTGCTTGTAACCTATTCTGTCCACGCGATAAAAGGCTGAAAATAGAAGAGTTGTTCGTGCTTGGCTCAGGGAGGGGGCGGAGAACAGTCCCGAGAAATAGGAGTTGCAGTCAGGAAACCTGGGAGCCAGTATCTCCTCTGTGACTCACAGGATCTGTAGCTCCGGGAAAGAGTGCGAACCTTTCTGAGCCTCTTCCCCTCATGATTTAGCATATCAGGGTTAAGAGAACAAAAAAGAAATAAAGGATGTTTTAAGTCATAAACATTATAAAATGTCACTATATTTAATAGTTTATTTATCTGTATATGAGCAAACACAGACATAAGCTATTAAAGATGTTTACATCTACAGAGGTAAGGATTTTCTAGCCTCTTTGGTATGTTGCGGGGTGGGGAGAGAGGTCATTGTCTCCATAAAATTCATTCGAAGGAGGAGGGCTAGGAAAAGAACCTGGGTGGGAATGTCACCCCATTCTCTGTCTCCTCTTTAGAAATGACTGGTCTCCCCCTCCTGGTCTGTTCTTAAAAGGATCAGGTAGACTGTAACAGGTTTCCTCCGGGTAACAGATTCCTTCCCTTATCCCCTGGGTGGGTGATGTTTTGGACGGCTCACTCAAGTTCAAAACCAACAGCTCGCCAGAGAGGTCCAACAACTGCAGTCCCAGGAAGTCAAAAGGAGCTCAAAGCTACATACAGGACTGGGTCTGACCACTCTGCCCCAAAACAGCCTTCAGCGTTAGAAATACTGCAGCTTCCTGGAGCAGCAGCATGGTTCTTTTGTAAACCAAAAAGCATTTTGCCTCCTAAATTAATCTTTTGGAATAAGAGTTTCCATAAATTTATTTGATTCCATCCATTTTAGAAAGAGCAAGTCAGAGATCAAGTGAAAAGTGATACTCCATGAGATCATCAAAATTTTCCACTCCTCCTGACTTCAGAATTGCCTCACATAACCCCAAATCTCTGACATCAAGTCCCTTTATCATTTCTCATAAGGACAGAGAGCCGAGAAATCTAATGATGAGGAAGACATTAGGTTGGAAAGACAGATTATTTGCCACTTTGCAGAGCTGGCCTGCATTTGACATTCAAGAGTCTGCATGGTTGAAGCACATGGGGGTTGTAATAATTATCCAGATACTTAGTGTGGCCACATGTGAGTCTTCCCTGTCTTCAGACCACCTTCCACCATACGTGCTTCTGCCTCTAATATCAATATATCTTAGGTGCTTGATTTTTAACCTAAATGACTAAGATGGCTGTTTGTGGTTTTCAGTTCGGGAGTTGGACAAAGCCTCAGCTGAAAATTGAAGACACAGGAAAATGTCTTCAGCTTTAATTTTTAAATATTCTGTGCACACCTTGATTTGCTGAATGGCTGGTTGGGTGGATTGGACAAGTGAGTGAATGTGGTGACTTCAGGAGAGTGTGTTAAGAATTTGTGTGCACGTGTGTGTACACCAACGTTGACACAAATATGAGGATTCTGAGTAGTTTCGAAAATTTCGTAATATAAAAAGTAAAAACTAGCATAAATGTCACTCTTTGAATCTCCTAGCCATCAGACTGCTTTGGAAATGACACCAGTGGGTCCATTACTAGGTACTAGGAATTGTACACATGGATGGAGGTGGACTTTGGTGGGAAGCCTTAGGGGACCCTCAAACTCCGAAGGAGGCCGATGGTCACCCCAAAGCATTGCTGACCTCGACTCCACATGCTTCAGAAGTCCTGACCCTGTCTAGGATAATGAGAAAAATGCTTGAAATAGATAAGAAGTACCACCCATGCAAATACCTGTTTGCTAAAATATGGCTTTTGTTTAGGCTGATTTCGATGAGAGCAGTGATAGCCTCATTGCCATGACCTAGAAGGTGGGAAATTTTTCATGCATGGGCCCTTCCCTGAGCAGGCACATGGACGTTTAGTCTGATTTACTGATAGAATGAGGAGAAAAGAAGCCAAGTTAGCCTTATTTTCACTTAAAACTGTGAATGGATACATCATGGGCCTGATGGAGAAAAGACATTTAGTAAAGGGAGAGGAAAGCTTAGCGGGCCTGGCTCTGACCGGCTGCCTCGTAGGCTGTGGTGGCCACCAGATTATTTGAACCACGGTAATAAGTTTTCCTTTCATGACCGGATGGGTTTCCATGCTGACATTTCTATTAGTCTAAGTCCCTTGCTATCCCTGCAGAATATGAGAACAGTTGAGATCCAGGCCTTAGAACGTCCTCCCTGATATGCTATTGTGGATTGGGGTGGGGGTGGGGCGAAGGTGGGGGGACGAGGGCGGGGCTGGGTGGGGCGGGGGTGGGGCGGGGAAGAAAGTATCACATTATTGGGCTGTGACCCCTTCAGCAAGAACACAGTGGTAAGTGGAGTCAGCAGGCAGAAGATGACTCAAGAACAGACGGGTGGACAGCAAAGGACAGACAAGATGATCATGGGGGTCCATGAAACACAGTCCTAAATGAGCACACCCATCACAGTAAAAGGAGAGGTACTGGTCTAACAGACTGGACCATTGTCTGCTGACCAACGCTCCCAGGTCTCCGCAGAGTAGCATTTTTATTGCAGTATGTCTTTCATGGAAGATGAACAGAACTTTAAATAAATCACAATTACTTATTGCTTAGTATTTTGGATAATAAATTCTTTAGTTTATCAGTACCTCACGGTCTTCAAATGTGCATTCTTCAAATAGTTTCAATTACATATACATTCTTTCTCCTGAACAATAAATAATTCTTCAAAAAAAAAAAAGAGAAAAGAGAAGATACATAATTTTAAAGCAAAGAAAAACCAAAAAAAAACATATATTTTTGACATTTATCTTAAACTTATATGAAAACAACTCTATGTTAGATGTTTAAATATAAATAATAAAGGACATTATGTTATTTACAATGTTACACAGTAAAGTTGAGAGAGTAAAAAACGGACGTTAACTCATAAAGACAGTAAATGATTTAGGGAAACATCCAAGTAATGTACAATGTGTATTTACAAAAGAGTATATAATAGAACTTGTGATATGTGGCTATTTCCTCTTGTCTACATTTCTCTGCAGTGTTTCACGGGTCTTAGTGGATAGAATTCCCTGTGGCTGGTAAGATACAGCCAGTCCTTAAAGATAAAACTAGGCCTTTCTTATTTTCACCAAGGTGAGCCATGCACCTTTCAACCCCAGGCCCCCTCCAAAAAAAAAAAGGAATATTTACTGAGCAAGTTACCCTGGATAAACTCTGTATCAAGACAGTCACACTTAAACAACAAAGATATGTCATATTGGCGTTTGGGACACATTCACCACATACCCCCCAGGCAGAGCCTGCCATTTTGGAGAAAGAACAAGACCATCCAGGCAATCTCAAAAACAGAAGTCAGACCAGGCAAGGAGGGCCAGCAGGATGGAAAAGGAATCTGGAGTGAGAAAAAGGAGTTTTGCAGACACTACGCTCCACTACGTATCCCCTAGTGGGGTGTGATTTCAGACCCAGGAAACAATGTTGCTGTCAAACTTCTAGGCAAATTCCACTACCTGAAGACCCACCAAAGTTCCCTATATGCTGGGACTTAGGTACATACTCCTTCTTTCAATTGCCACTGCACTCCTGAGTTTATAAACGGGGATGGTGACGATTAAACACCCCAGAGATGTCCCTGTGAACACAAATCTGGTGGCCATGGCAGGCAGCCCTGAGGAATACTCTGACCTTTCTTATCAAGGGATTCTCTGGTTCTACAGACAGAAAGCCTGTCCGAACTGAAATGCCACCGTGGTGAGTCACCAGAGCCAAGCCGGAAATAACATTTCCTCTGGTCCCCAATTCTCATATATTTTTGCAACGTGAAAATTTACACAAGTTTTCATAAGGAGGAAAGCGATTTGATTTATTCCTGAAGAAGTCTCCAGAACGGGAGACGTGCCACTACTCTGACGCTCAAAGAATTTGAAACAGAAATTTTAGAGTTTTAATTATGGCAGGAATTTCTTTATTGAAATAGTCTAAGAAGGAGTCAAGGTCTTTGAAGGCAATATTAGAAAGAGTGAGGGAACTTCTTGGGGTTGATGGTTTCCCTCCCCCTGCCACGAGCTTACTCATTTCTACAGAGTCAGGAGACCAGTGTAACTGGCGCACTTGTCAGGGGCTCCTCCGGGTGGGTTAGCGAGCAGGCGAGGCCGCCGCTGAGCGCAGGTGAGGTGGTACAGAACAGTGAGGGACGACTTGGGATACTGAACACTGCGAGGAACTTCAAGGACCTGTAGACAGGAGTATCCATGGATTATAGAAATACTTAGGAGCTGAAGACATGGCTCATGCCCAGCCTGCACTTCTCTTCTAAGACTTATTCATGTCACTTCTTCCCTTTACTTTCCATACAGAGATTTGGTGAAGAAATTGACTCAGTGACTCTCCTTGACATCATGCCTGGTGTCCTGAACCCTGGCAAACCTGTTTCCCATTTTGTCCCTTGGCTCCTAGAAGGCCTCTTGGAACCGAAGTAAAGCTCCAGCTTGATCTGATAAGATATCAGATCGGGCATGAAATGAGGCCTGCAATTTTTCAAAAAATTACTTCCTGTTCCTAGAGTGGCAGTAATCTCAAACATCTCTCCCTAGAGGCCTTGCTTGGATTGGCCATCACAAGAGAACATGCAAAGTGTAGACCCATCTTAATCCCATTTTGTGACAGGAAAGCAAAAAGTAAGAAAGTAGAAGGGGAGGGGAATGGACGTTATAGCTGCAAATAGAGAGGTTTGCACGCAGGTGGGGGTCATTTCTGCAAGTAAAGGTGCAAGCTTTCCAACTGTCTTGATATTTCCTGAGGATTCATCACTCGGGGGAGGTTCTTAACTGATCACAAATCACATGCACATTGGCCGTTCCTGACAAAAACGTCCATGCTTAGTTATGACCTACTCAAAGCAACATTAAAGAAAAAAAGAGAAAAACAATGAGAACGAAAGAACAGTCAAAAGTGCTTAAAAAATTGCTAACCAAGTCACACAGCTGCTCTCCGCCTACGTCTTCTATATATGCACGCTTCCTAGACAATCTAAGACAGAAGTATTTCCCTACGATGACCAGTCACCACGACAGACAACAGGCACATTTCACTCTGGAAGCATTTCAAACAAATTGCTGCGTGTGCTGTTTAAGCTGAGTTTTTTGTGCCACGACATGTCTGTTCTTGAGCCGAGAAGACACAACCAATCATTGGCTCCCAGATCAGTGAAAAACAAGTCAGGAATGATTGCACCTTTTCCAGCCATGCTTTGATCTTCAACTAGATGAGCTGCCCAGGGAGGAGGTGACACTGAGTCCTCAGATTAGGGGCTGGTTTTCACCATGATCGCTAGCCAGAACCCACTTTCTACACTATCCTGAAAACGGTTGCTTTTTGCCAAGAAAAAAATCCATCAAAATAAAGTCAATGGTAGCTCCTTTTAGCGAGAGCAAGCTATCTTCTGCTTAATCACGTCATTTTATAAAAAAAAAATCACAGTATTACTTTCTTCCTAATATGTAACATGACTTAATGCAGTTTCCTGCTATAACTCATAGTAGCATGCTGTTGGATCTACTATTATCTCAGAGCCCAATGAAGCAAACCTTTGGCCGGCAGAGTAGACACAACCCATTTCATACACTGAGAGCAGAAGAGAACGTCCTATGAAAGAGGACTGGGATGGATATGTGCCATTACAAGACGTACTGAGTGGGTAGTTGGGTACTACTTGAAGCAAACGGAGGGACAGCTGGAAATCTGGCAGACCATACATCCAGTCAACGTTGTAATGCAATGCACAAGGAGCCAGCAAAAATGGAAAAAACATGGCATGGGGAAAGTTTTGCTGAAATACTGTGAAAAAGCTCTCACGGAAACGGTACAAAACTTGCTCTCGACATAACAGAACATAAAGGCACCAATTGATCTCTTTCTCGTTTGGAAATACTGTAAAAAATTGCTACATATGGCACGTAACACATTTTTACATACATATATTTAATTTATAAAAGTTTTTCTTTTTCCTGTTTTGCTATCTGCAGAGCTGCTAAAATAAAATAAATTGTTTAATTTAAGGTGGAATACTTTATTATATAAAATAAAGTTTTACAGGTGAATCTATGTGTTTATTTCGGTTTTATACAGCAATAGGGTCTTGGTTAGCGATTACACTAGACAGCCTGGCCTGTAACTCTTCCTGCGTGGAGAAGCGGCCCGCTGGGTTAGTCCTGCCGTCAGCCAGGCGGAAGGCGGGGGCTGCCTCCAGGCTGGCGGCCAGGGGGTTCTGTATGCCCAGGAAAGGTGTATCTTCTCCCACTCTTTCATCTTCTGTTTCGCTCTCTGAGTCACTGCTCTCAGCGCTTGTGTGGCTGTCCATTTCTAACCTGTTGGCCACGTGGCCATCGGGCTTGGTTCTTTTGGCCCGGCGGCTGTTGGTGAGTTTCTTAGCGGGCTCCTGAGCCGGCTCGTACTCCTGGGTGGTTTCGTAATCCTCATCCTCCACTATCCTCAGGGGGCTGGCAGGCAGGCTGTTGCTCTCATGCGCGGGGTTGCAGTGGAAGGAGTTGAACTGCTGAGGGGGGTGGTCAGCCTTCTCCCGCAGCCGGGGGGGCGTCACGAGAAGCAGGGGTCTCTCCTCTTCCACGAAGGGGCTGATGGCCATGGAGGGCATGGACATCGTCGTGCTGGACACGGGCGGAGACATTTCCGAAGGGGGCGATTTGGGGGAGCTTGGCGTGTGGAAATCTACAGGTGACATACGAGCCGGGGTGGTCATTGCTGACACATACCTGTGTGAGCACAGAATACCCCGCGTGAGTGTGCTGGCAGAGGAGGCAGGGAGCGGGGAGGGGAAGGGGACAGAGCTCACCCATGTTAATACCATCAGAGATCAAAGAACTTCTATTCATTGTATTCTGCTTGGTTTTTTTTTTAACACTAGGACATTCAGCACCCTTGGAATCTAAAATTATGGAGCCAAGAATATCCTCACAGAAGGACATGCAAAGAGCAGATGACTTGCCTAGCTCATCAATGTTGGGGATTTTCAATCTCCTCAGGATTTTAAACAAAAGCACATGAGTCCAGACAAGGGGGCACCTGGACCTGGAAACCTCTCAGTTTATCGGGACCAAGGCTCAGGGATTTGGAAGGGAAAGAAGTATTACTTAAATACTATACCTTCCTAAAGGCCAAGGGGTCTTAGAGAATGAAGCCCAAATGGGGAATGGAGGAAGATCTAAGATGAGCTGCGGACAGCTGGATCTGCATGCATTTGGATCTGTGTGCCTTGTCTCTCCTTAGCTCAGCTATAAGGCTACGTCTTATGAAAAAAAAAGAGCATAGTAACTTAGATTTATTCCTGATAACAGTGTAACACATTTGTGTGCTTTTCATTTTTCCATGAAATGCTACTTTTTAACATTCAATTGGCAACTGTCCCTCCCAGTGAGCATGACATCCCAAGGTAATTTACGTTGCCTTCGTACTTCTGTCCAGTCTCTGGTCTAACTCTCTTCCAAAACCCAGGGCTGCCTCGGTCCTTGGCTTATCTTTTGTGACTGCCCAAGGGTGGGCTGTACCCCACTCATGTCACGTTCTGTCTGATAACGCTCAGTGAATCTCAGGGGTCAGGACCTTCAGTGCATCGTTTTTACCACATCATGCTTTCTTCCCCCAGAACAAGAAGACCTGACTTGGCACCGAGAAAGATGTGGCTTATTCAGACTCACATTTCTCAGCCTGGATAAAAATCTCACCAATGCATCGCACTCAAGGACTCTTTTTTTTCCCACATTGGCATTTGCAGAGTCTAATTTGACATGACCTGTGATGACAAAGGACACCATCATCTAGACTCTAGCTAACAGGAACAGGAAACCCATGAACTCTCCTGCTTTTCTGCCATGATCCTGAGTCATGTGGATGTGAGATCTGGCTGTGTCTAAAATGGGGAAGTGTCTAGAGATCGAAATATCTGGGGCTTGAGTCTTCAGACTTTCTGTTTTGAGATACTTAAATTCAGCCATCTGAGAAATGCTAATCCAACTTCAAGCAACCCATAAAGGCGATTCATCCTTTCTTTCCACGAACTCTGGGTTCAGGTGTATTTTGCAGTCCTGGATAATCTAGTGTAGGTGAGGAAGCTCACCCCAGCAGGGAAATGCTGACTTTGAAGAAAAACATCACATGTAGTGATGGGGACAGAATTTATCTCTAATCTATTTTTCAGGTTTTAAAAAAGACTGAATTAGGACCAACTTGATACATAAAGACATCATTACATGAACTTGAGGCTAATGTTTTTAACGAGTTTTGGACCATGCCTACTTTTTCAGAGATGAATTACAGAACAACCTCTGATTCCATAAAACTCTGAAATACCATTTTGGGGTAAAGGCCTTTAAAAAAGGAATCAGCAGGCTCTACACGACCTGCAGGCCTGGAACCGGCCACCTGTTGTTGTAAGCACTTCCCAGTGTATGAGCAGGAGAGAGTATCAAAAGGATGTGAAAACCCATGAAAACCAAGTAAGTATGGTTTCCACATTACGTAAACCTTTTAGCAAGTGGTGAAAACTTAGACCGAGACGACAATAAAGCAAACAAACAAACAAACAAACAGACAAAACCCCACTAGATTTGAAAGCAGGCAAGTAACAGCTTCCTGCTGGACTGGGAACGCTGGTTGGGTGTGCCTCCCTCTCAGTTTAGGGGAAAATGGATCAAGGAAATCTATGAGTTCAGTATTTCTGTTAAGCATGTCTTTCAGTTTACTTTCCTCTGTTCTTTATTTGACCTTTGCTGTAACTCCCCCCTGGCCCAGCCCAGTCTCCCCAGAAGAAAGCCGACACATTTCCGGAATAAGGACCATATCAAAGGCAGCATCTGCTTTGAAAAGCTCCCGTGAGGACTGCGAGAGACAGCGCCCAAGAGATGCCCTGAGTCATCCCGCCTCGGACTTTCATAAAAGGGAGACTGCTGGTGGAAGGCAGGCGGCGGTCCCCCACGGCCGGCCGTCAGCCATGCACAGCCCTTGACTCGATTTAACTGAGGCTGGAAGGCAAGAGAGAGTTAGCGCAGGGGCGCAGGAGGCCAGCCCCACCAGAGTCTGGATAACTGGCCACTCGGGATTCTAGAAGGGTCCTGATCAATCACTGACGCCATCGCTCTCAAGTTACAGTTGAGGAAACCGCCCCCGCCCAGAGGGTCTGAGCCTCAGGCCAAAGCCAGGCTCTCCAGCCGTGCTGCGCCTTCCACACCCCACCATTCCAGCTCTTTAAGAGTCTGTCGCCTGTCAGCCACCGGGACGCCGCGAGCAGCTCGGAAGAAGTGAGTCCAGTCAAACCAACAGGTGGTTTCGTCAGCTAGGAGCGCCCATTCTCATGAGAGCAGGTTCCTTGGGTGAGAGCGCGGGTGCTCACGGGGCTCCCTTAGTGGGGCTCTTTCTCCTCTGCAGTGGCTCTGCCCTTCGGTTTTACCTTTCACTATGAGGAGAGTCTCGGTAGGAGTCAGGGGTTTCTCTGGCATGCCTGAGGAAGCTGTTACACTCGCGAGGGCCTCCCAGGCCATTGAGCCGTCCTCTCGGGCCCCCGGCCGGGCTGCTGTGCCTGCTGTTTTCCACGGATGACATCACGATCACAGAGTGGCTTTCGGAAAGGATGCTCTCGGTGTGGCCGTTGCTCCAGCTACAGAGGAAATGTGAAAGACACAGACACACACACACACACACACACACACACATGTATATTTAAATTATATGCACAAATGGAAAGGAGAGGGCGCGACCTGACAAATCTTGCATGTGGCTGGTGCATCATTACTTTACTAGGACATTGCTTGTCTCAGAACAGAATTGCTACAAAGATGCTTGCTATAGACAGGATCCTTAGTTGGGCTTTGTAAGGATACACTTTATCTGTTCACATGTTCAACACACATTAACCAAAGGCCACTTTGCACTAAGTATTCTTAGGATCTCTCTGTTCTTGAGTGGCTGAGATGAAGGAAACACTGGCCTCATGGACTATGTTTGGGATTCTGCTGTTGCCCCTGGTAGCACACATTCAGACCACCAGGGCATTTGAGAATTTAGGGTTCGGTATTTAACAGATTCTCAAGTGCATATCCCAGAGCAAGCCAACCACTGGAAGAAGTCACCTTCTGAGCATTCTACAGCATCTGAGACAAGCTCTTCCCAGGACAGCAATCCTGCAAGTGGTCGGGCGCGAGAACAGACGATCTCTACAACGGGGAACAGCAGTCCTACAAGTTAGGGATGATTTCCCCTGATTTTGGTAATGGAAAAACTGAGGCTCAAATTCAACAGCAATTAAACAGCCGAGCCAGCTGCTGCCCAAAGTCTGTTTTTGTCCCATCTCATACTTTTACGGCACCTCATTGCCCCCTAATCTCCCGCCCGCTTTGGAGGCAGCGAGAGCACAAGGCAACGTGTAAAGATGGGTCCTGGGGGAAGCGCCGTGCCGTCTTCCATCCTCATACCTGTGACTAGGAGTCTGGGTGACCGTGGTGGAGTGATGAGCCGTCGAAGTATAGTGGCTGGTGGAAAAAGACGTCTCCGCCTCTCTCTCAACAATGTGCTCACTAGAGATGACGTTTTTAGATACGTATTGCTGGAGAAACAAAGAGACACGGCTTGAAGATTCAGGGAAATCAAAACACTGCCACTGTCGCAAACACACAGTCCACTCCCGTGCACATGCCTCGTAATATGTCCTGTTTCTCCAGCGGCCAGGTGGCAAAGCCTATGCTGGCTACCGTAGTCTTTAGATTAGTTACACGGGGTTGAGGAATCACTCTCTGGATGTGCACATGGTGCAGGTCCTACCATCACAGCTGCATTTTATCAGAAACAGACCTGTGTCTTCTGCTTCCAGTTGATAGCACGGCAAGAATGCAACACAAATGTCTCTCCAGTACTTATTTTTGTAATGGTTGCTGCCAAGCCAAAGACAACTAACAGATATTTGAGTGAAACAAAAGCACACAGATGGTTTATCTTATTTCAAATTTTAAGTCATTAGATGAAATAACAACAAAAAAACCCCCTCTATATTTTGGATCTATTTTTCTTTCAGTTTCCCAGGGCCCATGTTGCTCGAATGCTATCAGAGACATTTTTAACTTGTTGTCCGTGGTAAGACCGACAGGGCTACTGAGAGACGTGAAGGACTTAAAACGGTTGTCAAGGTTACACATTTTGACAAAACACATGATAGAGGGCCTTATATTTTGTGCAAGTAGATTCTATTTTGTTTTCACCACCAAATCACAGCAGCTATCGCTGCCTTTTATTAGTGAGAGAGGGACATTTTAAAATTGCCTTTTAAACCCCATTAGTATTTCCACTGACTGGAGTTAAATTACAGGAAAAGGCACAGGCAGGAACAGTCTGAGATGAAATAAGGGTGCTTTTATAATCTGATGGGTTTTGGGCTCTAAGAGAGTCCATATATTCATGGAACCCCCCCTCCCCGCAAAAAAGCAACTTGAATTATGCTTGAATTATATCTGTTTCTCTTAGTGGAAAGGTTTCTCCATGTGGATCTTTGCTTTAAGGAAAAGATGGTGTTGTCACGTGCAATGAGCCATCTCTAGTCTGTGTACCAAACGACTCTTGCTCCTTGGAAGGCAATGTAAACTCAGAGAATCTAATGAAAATAATATTTAACAATTATACAATACTCACTAAATGCCCCTGGCTAAGTGTTTCTGTTTTGTTTTGTTTTAAGAACAGATTTGGTGGGGGGTGATTACGTTTATTTATTTTTATTTATTTATTTTTAAGTGGAGGTACTGGGGATTGAACCCAGGACCTCATGCATGCTAAGCACATACCTTACCACTGAGCTATACCCTCCCCCACAAGAATTTATACAGATTATTTTTTTAATGCCCACAAGAACTTTGCGACATAGGTATTATTTTTAGGGCTGTTTTCATAATGAGGAAATAAGGTTTAGAAAAGCTAGAGTTCACAGCCACAGGGCTTGAGCTGTGATTGGAATCCAGGCAGTCGCTCTGCCTCCTGTGTATTGTAACATACAAAGTGACAGATTAGAGGTGTGTTAGCAGTGAACGCATTTATCAACCGTGCAGCGCACTCTGCTGAGCACACTGGTAGGGGAGGAAAGCAGCAGAGGATGTTAACAGACCAGCACCTGACAGTCTCCTGTAGGTCTTCCCTATAAGGCTTGCTAATGGTTGAGCAACCGGCAACCCTGAACTTGGGTCTTTGATGTATTTGCCTCCCAGAAAATACATCTCAGCCTGTAAAAAGCCAAACATCAGAGGGCGATGGAGAAAAACGGTAGTGGATTAGGAAGTGGAATATTCCAGAGCCAGGAAAGCTGAATCCAGCTCTGCTCTGGTCCTTATCTGTTAAAAAGGGAGTTTTTGGAAGGCCTCTCTAAAGACTCTCAGAATTGAATATTTTATGACTTCATTATATTTAAAAGTTGAATGTGTAGTAAGTTTTTAAGAAATAGATACTTGAATGTGGAAGGATATATTTCATCTGCAGGGTTGAGGATCATGTCGAAAGAGGGAGTCAGGAAGTGTTAAATTCTTCTAGTTTGGCTACTGAGGGGCCAGTCTGATAAGTGCCTTGGCCCTTTCACGCCCTGATTTCTCCTCTTGGAAATCAGAATCAGTAAAGCAAAATGCCTCGAACAAAAAAAATCACTCCAGAGTCTTTAGTCCAGTCACAGTGCTGATCAGCAGTAGACTGGAGTCACCTTCATTTCCAAATTATTAAAAAAAATTTTTTTCCTTATGATTCTTGTATCATGAATTTTATTATTTTTCCGTTCTTTCTTCCCATTGTGGTTTCCCTGCAGAACCAACCCAACATTATTATTCCCACCCCTTAATGAACACTTTCTAAGAGAAAATGGGCTGGTGTGACAGTCACCAAACCCACTTTCAAACGTGTTCCCATTATTTTCTCTGGCGAAATCTTGGATTCCTGGAAGCCCTGGTGATTAATGGCAGCAGCTAAGAGGCTGAGAGCTTTAGAAAATAAACCTCAAGGTGCCTGAACAGAGGAGACACGCGGAGCTTTCCCACGGGCCAGCATCAACGTACATTCACCAGCTGAACGTTCTCGGGGGGCGGGTTCGGGTGGTGAGGCCCGTTCGCCATGTTCACCATGTTGTTTCGTTCGGACCGAAGACTCTGCCGAAGCCGGTCATGAAGCTTTTTCCGCTGTTTCCTGGACAGGGAAAAAAAGGAGCATTTATTTGTTCGATTATGTATGTTTTTCAGTACAGTCAATTCTTCATTCTCTCAACACAAAACTCAAGGCAGTGGATTGGTGGTGAGGGAGGCAGAGGGCCTGCCACTCCAGCTCGGAAGTGGAGTCACCCATCCTTAGCAAATAGATTTCAGAAGGCAAATGGGATGCTTACAGAAACTTAAGTGGACTGCTGAGAGATAAGGGGAAAAAAAAATAAGAAAGAAAAAGACCAGACAAGTCAAGTGGATATTTGGCTAAAACCCCAACTTTCCTAATCAATCCATCTCTGCTTGAGCCCTGCAGATGGTTTTGTCTTTGCTAACAGTTCACGCTCTGCAGTTGATAAGACTCATCTCATTTATAGACTTGCCTGCCTGTGTGTCTCTTAAGAAAACACAGTTAGCTTTGAATCTGTCTGTCATACATGCTGTGTGTGAGTGTATAGATAGCATCATACATGAGTGAAGGCGTGCACCTATTTTTCCAATTGGTTTTGGCACAATGATAACATGACCCTACCCTAGTACCACTGTTTCATGTGACTGGGTAGTGAAGATCGCAATACTGAGATTGAAATATTGAGATCGTCTCACAAGGTGGATTCTGTGAAGGCTGCTGTGTCTCCATGCCTTGCTCAGTGCTGGCAACATGCTAAATCCTGGGGCATTAAGAAAATGTCACCTGTGCCCTTGCTTTGGTGGCATAAAAACACATTGCCTTTGTTGCTCTATGCAACATTCGGGTCCTAGGAATACTCCCATGGTTAGTTTTGGCAAGAACGTTTATGCCACGAAGAGACAAAACAAAACTGGTAACATTATTTCAGACTTGAAGTGGAAGCTGTATGTACGAGGGGCAAGTGAAAGGAATTTGTGTCAGACAGTCGTCGTCTTTGTTAAAATGGACCCGGCTTAAAGGACCCAGAAAGGGAACACAAATCTGTTGTAATGTTTTCTCTTTTATTCTTTCAAAGCAAGTTTCACTTGATTCTCCTCCCAGGAGGTTCTTTCTGTAATCTCACACTTTGAGAGCATTTGAACTGGTAACTTAGTTAAATGGAACTGAAAAATAATCGTGATGCCGTTTTAAAAAACCCCAGAACCCTGTATTTCAAACACCACCAAGTGTTTCCTTTGTCTCCTAAGTGTGAGCTGGAACGTGTCCTCAGCAGCGATAGGACGAGCTCACCTGTAGCACCTACCCCACTCCCCTCAGGGTACACCCACACCCACAGACACCCGCATGTGGGTCCCTATGCAATCCTGCCCCTCCAACCCTTTCTTCAGTCCGGGGGCTGGGGTCCACTATCAGAAGTCCTCCGAACGCTTTCACACAAACAGGCAAAGCTTTCTAACGGACGTGATTAGGAAAGGTCCTCGACGTTCGAGAGAAAAAATATGGGCTCCTCCTCCTCCTCCCTTTTCTCCCCCAAGACTGGACTGCGGAGCCTGGATTCTGCAAAGCCCTCGGCGGCTGGGCTGTGTGTGCGCGGAGGGGAGAGGAGGCGGGGAGGAGGAAGTTTACTTGGTCTTGCAGTAGGCCACCACACACATGATGCCGACCACAAGCAGGGCGATGCAGATGCCGGTGATGGTCAGGACTCGCTTCTGGTAGAGCTCCTCCGCCTCTGGAAAGGGATGAGAGCAGATGTCACCACAGTCCCCGCCCCGTGCCGGCACTGACAGCTGAACAGCTGGCATGCTGCACTGCCCATGTTCACAAGGAAATACACACGGGACAATTCATGACTTTTGCAGACATACTTAAGGTACAATCTACTCTGCATTACATTTTAGACATAAAACAGCAAAGCCCGTTGAGGGAGGGCATTTATAATTAAAAAAACATGATATTATTAAGTTAATTATATATATAGGCATTAAACTGGCAAATCATTAACATGAATTATAAAATAACTATTTGGTTAAAACTGTCTTTTTTTATTAAAAAAAAAAATCTCTCGCAAAGACAACAGGAATCGAGGCCAATAAAAGGAGCTGGAATTGGCACCACTGGGACCCTCCCCTCCCCCTTCCTCCCTTCTGCCCATCGTTTCATCTTCGCAGGCCCTCCCCAGCCCACCCACCCGAGCCTCTTCTGTTTCCCAGCTATTTTATATTCCCGTGGTCTTTACAAAGAGCCACTTCTAACGTAAAAAAGTAAACTCAAAGACATCAGCAAACATGAGCTTGACTTGTAGTTAGCAACAAAACTGAGGCAGGATCCCCATGATTTGACAGTAAAACGTGAACATGAGCAACATGACATGGAATAGCGGGGCACTGTATCAGAGAAAAACCAGTGCGACTTGGGGAGAGCCCTGGACCCTGATGAAGCTTTGTCCTTTGAGGAACAATTACTATTACTTCACCGGTTGTACTCAGAGACCTGATTTTTTTTGCAATAAAACACCACCAGCACAAATGATACACGATTAGGAATGGACTGTACATTCCTGCACTGACCCACCTGGCAAATTAGCTGATGTAGGTTGCACTCAGGTAAGTGTGATGCTTAGAACTTTCAGGTGAAGGTACTACTGTACCCCAAATGTAACTGGTTTCGTATTCATGGAAGGCTTTCAATTTCTAAGCTAGCTTTTGAAGGGCAGATAACTTGATTATATTCTGGTAGGTCAGGTTCTTAACAAGACTGGCTGATTTAATAGAGAACCTGACCCCCTTAGGAACTAGGCTTCTAACCAATCCAATCACACTTCTTGGGAGAAATTCACAAGTTCAAGG